TGTGACAGGTGGATGATGCTGGGGATAGAGTGAGGTGTGGCAGATCCACTGTGGCGACATAGATGCTTGGCTCTGGTCTGTAATGCAAGCTTTCAAACACCTTTCAATTCTGCAATGTAAAGATTCTGATCAAATACAAAGATATAAAGATATAAAATAGAACAGATTGGAACATTTAAGAAGAGAATATCATTAAAAAGAAGTGCATACAATAGTATAGAACAGAACAAAATAAAACTGAATGGATTAGAATAAACAGGAGTACAATTGTAGATCTGAAGGGAATAGTACATAACAGAATAAAATGAATTATACCAGAACAGAGTCAACACAGTACAATAGAATGGAGTAGCATGCAGCTTTTATGTGGTTTTTCAATGCATAAAATCTGTCACTGTCTTCCTCTGTGTTTCCTGGTACATATATGATCTACTGACTGATCCCACTCAATGGTTATGAGGTCAGAAATCTGTGGTTTCATGTTCATTGTAAAACTGAAAAGATCATATCTGAGGAGCCAGTGGGACTTTCCTTCCTTTAAGCCAGCTTGCAGCAAAGGCATGCTCCCCATGCTCATTACCTTTCCATCACAGACCAGCTGCTGTGGAGTCATTCATCACGATTACAAATCTGCCTGGTGCTGGTAGCCTGCAGCTACAACATCAGCCTGTGAGGAGCATAGATAGGCCCTAGTCATCAGTCCCACTGGACAGAGTGTTAAATTCACACCACAACAGGTGATAGAGGTGGACAGCAGCGGGCAGGTTTTGTTATGAGAGAAAAACTAATGCTGAAATGTGGGGTTGAATTCTACCTCTACCTGAAAAATGGTCTCACAGTGTTGGCTGTGCTAAATTTAAATATATTACACGAGAGAAAGAGAAACTAATGATGTATCTGCACTTAAACAAAATATCACTCATTTTCACAGCAGGACTGAGGATGTGTGTGGTATTTCTCGATATTTAAGAGTGGATAGATTGATGTTAAGTATCCCTACTCAAACACTTGGCATTGCCACTTAATTATTTGAGTTAATTAGTTAATTACATGATTTTGTTCAGTAATGAAATACATCCTTCTTTTGTCGCTACATCCATGAAGTAATGTCATAAACCTGTTTAAAAAATATAGAAAATGATCAAGTAATGCTTGAGACTCAGTGATTGGTGATAAGAAAGAATTGGAAAAGCAGGTAAATGTAATTGTTGTTTTTTTTAACTTTAAAAAAAATCTGATTTCTTAACATTGAATGTAGTAGAGCTGGCCATTTCAAATAGTACAAAACATTTTTAAATGTCCATCTGAACATTTTTCTCACATTAAAATTTAAACAAAACGTACTTAGACATTTATTAATAAAGTTTCTTCCCGGCTGATTTTCAATAAAGTTTCATTGAAACGACCTTCCCAGTCACCATCCGGGCCTCTTACGAACACCCCATCGCGCATGCGCACTCTTCCACTGTGGTTCGACCTCTCCAGTCGGTAAGTGTGTAATGGCAGTTTGAATGAGAAGCGTATCTTTATAAATCCCTTTTCATCCTCTCTTTAAGCTTCGCGTTGCAGTGCCCAAGTGAGGATAACATACAGAACGGATGTGAATGCACTTATGAATGCTGTTATTTTCTCTACTGGGTATTTTTACACCCATTTGACCTTAATTCTCTCCGATCTTCCCTCCATAGAGAAACCCGGGATTCAACCAGATTTGACCGAACCGGTTAAAACTACCTAAACTAGAAAATGTACGCCTGCGCTAAGTTCGTCTCCACGCCGGCTGTGGTGAGTTTCTCCTCGTCTGTGTGTTTCTTTGAGTCGGACTTCTCTTAATGTCGCTAATAAAGCCGGTGGGCCTCTGGTTGAACTTGACTAAAGCTTTCCTGCAAGGGTATCAGACTAGGCCGGGAGCTTAGCCGGCTAATGCTAAACCAGTAATTCACATTCATTTTTTTAATGGCAGCAGAATGGGTGCAATGTTCATGAAATTTACGCATGCGATTTTTTTTAAATTGTTAATAATGCATCTATAATCCTGCGTTAGCCTTTAGCTCGTAGCTCCCATTATGGCCGCTAGCTAAGGTCATTTAGGCCTTCTATTAGCAGAACAAGGCGCAGACAGGGTGCACAAGACTTCGCACTTTGCAAACAATACAGAAATGGTGACATTTTCCGTTTGGGCTGCCAGCTTGCACGTACATATATCCTGGAGTGTCTTTATCCAAGGTCATGATACTGGTTTTGGAGGCTAATCAGTTTGAATGACAACACAAATGGTTGTTAGCTAACTTGCACTGGAATTTTATTGTAATATGCCAACATCATTGCTCAACAGTAAACTTTTAATACCACTTGCAGTCATCACTAAGTGCCACAGGTCACACATTGCAATGAATTACACTGTGACATTCAAGGAGTCATCCACCTTCAAACATGCCCACAAATGGGGAATAGTTGCCACTGTTAAAGCACATCTGTTGTGTGATACTGAGCATACATTCATGTAAATTGTTTATCTAGACTCATTATTCATGTTTTTGGTGTTGTTGTTGCAGGTCCGTGCTGGTTCCCGGGTTCTTTACCGACCTCTGTCTGCCTCTGTGCTGTCCAGGCCCGATGTCAAATCAGAGGTAAGAAGAAATGCAGGCTTTCTGCAACTTCTACAGCCCTTCTTAACAGTGCAGTGTTGGAAATTATTACCTAAAATACCACTGTCAATTTTGTATAGCACATTTCATAATACGTAAACTCCATGTGCTTACCATAAAAGATAAAGACCAGCTATGCAAGTCTGCAGTGTCTGAAAGCAATAAAAGCAACAGATCAAAGTTTTAAAAGAAATAAAATACAAGTTAAAACACACATGCAATAAATAGTACAACCTTTATGTGCGGATTTCTGCTCTGTAGTTTAATCTTTACGTTTAAAACTTGCCGGTAAAATGGCAATTTTTTTGATTAATGGTGTGACAGAACTACTTAAAATTTCCCTAAATTTCAGACTGTGCCTCCTATATTACTCCTGTCATCTGCTGCCACACTGTTTTAAATGTCAGCTGATGTTTACATTGAGGCGGGCAGCGAAAGGGCAGTGTTTACAGTGCCTCCTCTCTTGTTACAGAGCAGTGTTGCTCTGCTGCCCCAGAGCCCCCTGAGCCAGGCTACACTGAGAGGCTTCCAGACCAGCGCTATCAGCAGGGACATTGACACTGCCGCCAAGTTCATTGGTGCTGGGGCTGCCACAGTCGGAGTAGCTGGATCTGGTGCTGGAATTGGGACAGTGTTTGGTAGTCTCATCATTGGCTATGCTAGGTTTGTTTTAATTTCAGTGTCTTTATTCTTCACTATAACGCTAATTGATTCCCTGTGTGTTCTGTAAATGTGCTGATGGCTTCTTTTCTTCCTTTCTTTGCAGGAACCCATCTCTGAAGCAGCAGCTGTTTTCATACGCTATCCTGGGATTCGCTCTGTCTGAAGCCATGGGACTGTTCTGTTTGATGGTGGCTTTCCTTATCCTGTTCGCTATGTAAAACTCTGCTGTCAGACAAAATTTTCATTACAGATGTGACTACATATTTTATTGTGGCTACCAAAATTGTTCTGTGTTGGTGTCATGGGAAATGTACATTTTCAAGTCTTTTAGACACTGTCAAAAAAGCCAAGACATGTATTGTACAAATGTAAGAAATTACGTGATTAAAATACATGTGTTTGACTATTTAACAATGGCAGTAACTTTTATGTCTGGATTATAAATGCTAACACAACAGAAAGCACTTGGCCTTCATGAATGTCATCTTTTCTGTGAAGCAGGTGCTTAGACTTGCCATTACTCAGCCTTGTTTTCATAGACTATAACATGCAAGCTTTTTGGGGTCCACCTTAATGACTTTTTGGTTCAGCTGCACTTAAGTAATATTGTATTCAGGCAGCAAGTGAGTGCTTGCTTTTGTAAATGCCACTGAATAAATCTAGCTGATTTTAATTGAGCTAAGTAATGGGTTTTGAATTTTTTGACTTGTGATGAAAGCCCCCGGTTTCAAAAGCTGACAGATTGTAGTCATTACACCTTTATTGGTGGCTGCTTTCATTGGCTGAGCTTAAATTTGAAGAGGTAAAATCAGTCCTAAAAAATGCCAGAGATGATAATCATTAAGTCACTTATCAAGCAGAAATGCTTAACATTCATTGTCAAGGGTGATCTTTAAATATCTCAGTTTAAGATTTGGCTCACCCAAACTGTTGTACAATCCTTTACTATGATAAGGTAATATTCGTCACTTGTCATGAAAAGAAATGATACAGCATAGATCCAAATGTATAACAATATAAAATGGTGATATATATAGTGTGTGTGTGTATGTATATATATATATATATATATATATATTTCAAAATGGAGTGTATATTGTAAACTAGTGCAGTTAACTAGGGATGGTTTATGGTTTATATCCACCCTTTTTCTCACACATCCAAAACAGCTCATGGGGGACCGGAGCCTTTCACAGATTGCCTAAAATCATGTTTAAAACCTTGAAAGTCTTGAGCATCAGCAGTGACAGAAGGATTCTGGTCAGATAACATATCGGATCTGTTACTTTTTTAACACTTAAAAAATTCTTGGAAGGTTACAACATTAAAAATAATAATAATAAAAATAACAAAATGAATAAAGATTGTTTTATGTATAAAAAATAATAAAAGGGATTAAGTTGGAGTGCCCAGAAAACACTGAAAACTAAATTAGTAATTTTCTGGAAGGAGAAACATCAGAAATATGACTGTTGTTAGCAAGGATATTTTATATGCCTTAAAACGTCTGCTTCTCCTAATTCTTTTCCAAAACTACTTGAAGGTCAATGACAGAACAAGAGCAAAGTGTATGTGGCTCGTCGGTCCGAGTGTGACGTTTACGGAAGAGTCATAGCTGTTCTCGCGATGCTTTAGTACGACCGTGGGATTTTGGAAATCGAGGGTTGTGGCTGAGGGGGTAAGTGACCACATAAACTGATAGCGAATGGGTAAAAAGCTGTGGTAAAAGACATAATTACTGGGACCGTGAGGTACTCGTGCTCCGTTACGACGAGACAGCCTCGAAACAAACGCTGACATCTCCTTTGTTTACAGTGATATTTAGCTCCTAATATGGCGACGCTAGTATGTTAACGCAGGGCTCAGGCTATTCCGTGGAAGCGACTGGAAGAGATGAGCGCTACATATGTAGTAACGTAATAGTGAGATGTTCATGTGTGTGATGTCTGTTAAAAATGAGCTGCTATATTTACAGCACAGAAGCTGTCAGATGATGATAGCCCTGGATGCGTGGCTCAGTCGCTTGTTGTGCCAAAACAAGTGAAGCGATAATCCTCTTTATGATGACAACGAGTGTAAACAACCAAAGCAGCCGCCCTGCATCCATAGGCTTTGTCCAAATTTCCAGCTCTGCTTTCTAACCACTGCATCCTCCAGCCACCCCGTATTTACACATTTATGAGCTACATTTATTCTTATTAATCATTATTTGCTATAGCCCTATTTGTATACCGTCAGCTCTTGAAATATACATCATTGCATATCTGCAGGTGTGATATTTATTTACTATATATATA